GAAAGCTACCAGGGAGTTGGGCAAGAGCAGGAGGGGCACTGGTCTGACACACAGTGTAAAAGTAAAGTAAAGGCCCTCCCGTTGATCGTCGATTTGCTCGAGCGGGCCCAGTAACGTCTCCATTGGAGACTTTGTTGTTACTGTGTTTGGCATATCGAATACTCTCAGTAGCTTGCCGGGCTCTCCGAGAGGGGCGGAGGAATCGAACTCGGGTCGGCCATGTTGGCCGCTTGTAAGGCGAACGCCCTATGATCTCTGGTACCCCATATGGTCCCTGAATACAGAGCCAGGAGTAAGCCCTGAGAATAGTGAGTGTGGCATAAGAACAAACAAACAAAAAAAAACAGGCAGGCTGTGTTGGGGATGGGGAGGTTGGGAAGGGGAGGGCAGCAATGACAGGAAGGAAAATGGGGACATTGGTGGTTGGAAATGTACGCCGGTGAAGGGACGAGTGCTGGAACATTATGACTGAATCCCAAACATGAACAATTTTTGTAACTGTGTATTTCCCAGTGATTCAATAAAACAATTTTTTTTTTTTGCTTTTTGGGTCACACCTGGCAATGCACAGGGGTTACTCCTGGCTTTGCACTCAGGAATTACTCCTTGGCAGTGCTCGGGGGACCATATGGGATGCTGGGAATCAAACCCGGGTCAGCTGGGTGCAAGGCCCTACCCCCTGTACTATCACTCCAGCCCCAAAACAGTAAATTTTTAAAAAATAATAAAATTAAATTGCACAGAAAGAAAAAAAAAATTGTCATCTATACATAGAACAACTGGTCAAAACAGGGGAGTTTATCCTTCCTTTCCAGAACCCTGCTCAAGACACATTAAACTGTGTTTCTCGAATCTCCCTTGGCAGCCTCCCTCCCTTTCCTTTTCCTCTTCACTGTCAGCCTTACCAAACAAACCCTGGGCGGAGAGGGTCCAGAATCTCAACTGTGAGCAGGCCTCTGACGGATTGTTTGTTTTGGGGCCACCCACACCCAGCGGTGGCTCAGGGGTTACTCCCCACTCTAGCAGCTCCTGGCAGTTTTCAGGGGACCATGCAGCACTGGGAACTGAACCAGTTCCCACATGCTCCTACATGCAATGCATGAGCCCCAGCCCACTGAGCCCTAGAACTGGTTCTGGAGATGACCTGTGCCTTTATTTCTATGATGGATTTTTTCATTTTACCACACATCAAGGATGTTCGATCCAAGTGGCACCCAGGGGACCGGCAGTGCCCGCTATGGGGCCCTATGAGCATTCTCCTTGCCTGCTATGTCGGAACTGAAACTTTCTACTCCGGCAGGGTTATGACGATTTTTTAGATAGTCTCCCAACCAACCACCTGCACCCCTCTAATATTTCCATTTCAAGACTAAATTTTTGGGTCTGGGGTAGTAGTACAGCCGGTAGGACATTTACCTTGCACGCAGCAGACCAGGTTCGATTCCCAGCATCCCGTATGGACCCCCGAGCACTGCCAGGAGTAATTCCTGAGTGCAGAGTCAGGAGTAACCCCTGGGTATCGCCGGGTATGGCCCAAAAAGCTAAAACAAAACAAAAATCTTTATGGGGGACTGGAGTGACAGTGCAGCAGGTAAAACACTTGCCTTGCATGTAGCCAATGGGGTTCAATCCTAGGAATCCCTGCAGAATGATCCCTAAGTGCAGGACCAGGAGTACATCCTGAGGTGACCCCAAAACAAAAACAAAACAAAAAAACCCTTATGTTGTACTAGACAGAGTATCCTCAGGCAGGGCTGGCAGGGAGAAGAGCCTATTTCAGAGAAATAATGGAAGACACCAATGAAGTCATTTTTTTGTTTGTTTCTGGGCCACATCTGGTAGTTGTGAGGGCTGTTCCCACACTTAGCCAGCTGGAGAGGGTAGGAGAGGAGGCAAGGACATAGTGTGTCCAAAGGGAACTCAGGTCCAAAGGGAGCCCCATAAAGGCTTTTCAGGCTGGCCTCCTGAAGATCCCACTCTCAGACTTGCATTATGGAAATATCAAGGCTTCAGGGTTTGAAAAACTTAGGTCCAGAGTACTGCAGTAATAGTTTATTTGAATTAATGAGGCCAGGAGATACTACAACTTTATATTTTAAAGAAACCCTCCTGGGACTTTCCTCCAATGAAGATCATCACTGGCATAGGATAGGATTCCTTGACCCCAAAACAATGGGAAAAGTCAGAAAGAATGAAAACAAAAAAAGATTTCATAAAAATCCGCAAGTGCAAATTTATAGCACAGCGGGTAGGGTGTTTGCCTTGCAAGAGGCCAACATGGCCGACCAGAGTTCGATTCCTCCACCCCGCTCGGAGAGCCTGGCAAGCTACCGAGAGTATCTCGCCTGCACGGCAAAGCCTGGCAAGCTACCCGTGACATATTCGATATGCCAAACACAGTAACAATTGTCACAATGGAGATGTTACTGGGCCCGCTCTAGCAAATCGATGAACAATGAGAGGACAGTGACAGTGACAGTGAAGATCTATACAAAGTCACCCTTTAATGGGGCTAGAGAGACAGCACTGTGGGAAGGGCACTTGCCTTGCATGCACTGGACCTGGGTTTGATCCCTGGCAACCCATATGGATGCTGAGCACTGCCAGGAGTGGTTCCTGAGTGCAGAACCAAGAGTAAACCCTGATGGGTAGAGGGATAATACAGCAGGTAGGATGTTTGCCATGCTCGTAGCCAACCCAGCTTCAATCCCCAGCATCACATATGATCTCTCAAGCACTGCCAGGAATAATTCCTGAGTGTAGAGCTAGGAGTAACCCTTGGGTACCCCCGTGTGACCAAAGAAGCCAAAGCAGGGGGGGGGAAAGAGTAAATCCTGGGGCTGGAGCGATAGCACAGCAGGTAGGGCGTTTGCCTTGCACGCAGCCAACATGGTCGACCCAGGTTCGATTCCCAGCATCCCATATGGTCCCCCGAGCACCGCCAGGAGTGATTCCTGAGTGCATGAGCCAGGATTAACCCCTGAGCATCGCCGGGTGTGACCCAAAAAGAAAAAAAAAGAGTAAATCCTGAGCATCGCCAGGTGTGGCCCGAAAAGGAAACAACGACAACCAAAAGTATTCCCTTTTTTAGATAACTCAAGTCAGGCCAGAGGTCCCCAAACCCTGCAGAGCTCCTTCGCTCCTCCCAGCCTCATCTCTGGAGGAGTTCCCACTCAGATTTGTCTTCAATAAACTGTTAGAGCTAGAAGGCTCAGGGCGCTGTATCTTCAGTGCTAACTCCAAGGTACATTCGGTCTATTTTTAACACTGTGGATAAACGACATACACTGCCAAAGCTTTTGCAAGCTGAGATTCAGAAAGCACACAGTATAATTAAGTGCTTCTGGCAGCACAGAGCTAAGCAACACAGGATGCTGGGCCTCTCCTCAGCCAAGATGCTAGTGCTACAGGACCAAGTGAAGTCACAGCAATCTCTCTGGTGAAGAAGAGAAAAGGGAAAATAAAGAGATTCACAGGATCTCTCAGGTCCTATTTTCAGAGGCCGGAGTATGGAGCAGAAGACGTTCCTCACGCTGGTCAAAGGCCAAACCTGCTCAGTGTAAAGAAGTTCGCACACCAACAGGAGGGGGGTAGGGGGCGGATATGTCACTACTGGGTGGTGCCTGCTGCTGACACCGGCTAGAAGGAGCAGGATGGTGTGGAGCTCTGTGGGCCAGGGGGTGACGCCTGGGACCTCCACTCTACAGAAGGTGGTTTCCTCGCTGATGGGCTTCAGATAAAAAGCTGGGACGTAAGAAAGCTTTGTTTTCTTTTCATTGCTTTAGCCTTGGGGCCACAACAGCAGTGCTCAGGGATTACTCCCAGTGGAAAGCTTGGCAGCTCCTCCTGGAGGGGGCGCAGGGATCGAACCCGAGCCTCCCCCCCCCACATGCAAAGTGTGTGCTCCCGCCTACTGAGTGACCTCCCCAGTCTGAACTTTCTCTTTTTTGATCAACAGAACAAAGGCTTCCTGGGTTAAATTGCAAGGGTTAGGGAGAGGGCTCAGAGTGGAGGGGATGGCTGCCCTGGAATTGAATCCTGGCAACCTCTCAAAAAAAAAAAAAAAAAACGATTTATAACTCATGTTGTTGACTCCAATCACCATCCCTCACAAGACTAGTCCAAGACATGCAGGAACCTGCTGCAGAGACTGAGAAACACAACAGAGAGCGCCAAGCGCTGAGCGGCTGCCAGGCAGAGCCACACGCAGATTCAGCTGCCCCTCCCCCCACCTCTCAGGATCAAATGCCTTTGGGAGAATTACTTTCAATTCTTTGGTGTGGGGGCCAAACCCAGCAGGGATCACTGCCACGCTTGGGGCTGGGAGGCAACCCTGAGGCATGGAGGTTCAAACCCAAGGCTCCCAAGGATGCACTCTCTCCCTGGCCCTGGGGAAATCACTTTTTTTTATTTATTTATTTATTTTGCTTATTGGGTCACACCTGGTGATGCACTGGGGTTACTCCTGCCTCTGCACTCAGGAATAAGCCCTGGCGGTGCTCAGGGGACCATATGGGATGCTGGGAATTGAACCCGGGTCGGCCACGTGCAAGGCAAACACCCTACCCGCTGTGCTATTGCTCCAGCCCCTGGGGAAATTACTTTTATGAAAAGCTAAAATGCTTCTTCCCCCCACCAAAAGAGGAAAATCCTTCTGTTTAAATTTAAGGTATGAGGGGCTGGAGCAATAGTACAGTGGGTAGGGCGTTTGCCCTGCACACGGCCAACCCGAGTTCAATTCCAAGCATCCCAGATGATCACCCCCCCCCCAGGAGAAAATTCCTGAGTACAGTGCCAGGAGTAACTGATGATCACCCCCCCCCCCCCCAGGAGAAAATTCCTGAGTATAGTGCCAGGAGTAACTCCTGTGCATCGCCAGGGTGTGACCCAAAAAGCCAAAACAAACAAACAAACAAACAAAACAAAAAACAAACAAATATAAGGTCCCATTAGTAACCCCCTCAGCCAAGCATTGTCTCCAACAAGGCCCCCTCACTTACATATGCAAGCGGCAGCCAGGAGCCGACAGGCCAGGTATGGAGGGTCACAGGTGGGGAACATGGGCTGGACGATGTAGTTGGCAAAGGTGATGGCGATAACAGCCTGGCTGGTGGGCTCGATGATGAGCAGTGAGGCCCACAGTCGGATGAAGGCAATGAAGCCGCCAAAGGCCTCGAGAATGTAAGCGTAGCTGGCTCCAGACTTGGTGATGGTGGTCCCCAGCTCAGCATAGCAAAGGGCACCCACAACAGAGAAAAGCCCGCCAATCACCCAGACGATCAGGGACAAGCCGTAGGAGGTAGTGTACACCAGCACCCCCTTGGGGGAGACGAAGATCCCTGAGCCAATCATGTTGCCCACCACCAGGCTGATGCCACTCAGCAGCGAGATCTCCTTCTTCAGCTGCATGGTTTCGGAGGTGCCTTTGGACATGCCTTCAGATGCCATCTTGACGCCTTCCTTCTGGGTCTGGTTGGCCTCGGGAATGAGGTGGTAGGTGGGCGTGGGGCTCTCGAGCTCCCTGATTTCCATGGCAAATGGTTCCTTCACTCCTGTTTGCTGTGGCCTGGGGGGAAATGGAAGCGTGTCAGCTGGGGCAAGAGCGCTGGGACTGTTTCCCTGCCCGCCTCCTGGTGAGGGTAGCATGCCTCCCACACATAATTAGCTGGGCTCAGTTCCGAGCACAGGGCACAAACGGGGAGGTGACAGCATTCACTACTCAGAGAGATCAAGAGAGCACAGGCACCATAATATGACAATTTCCTTGGGGGGCCAGAGCAATAGTACATCCAGTAGGGTGTTTGCCATGTGGCAGACTCTGCTTTGATCCCAGCATCCCATTTGGTCCCCAGAGCACTGCCAGGAGTCCCAGAGTACAGAGCCAGGAGTAACCCCTAAGCACCACGGTGTGGCCCCGAACTAAAAAATAAATGAGTAAAAAAAAAAATTGTTTTTTTAAAAAATACATGGCAAGGGGCAGAGTACTAGTACAGCAGGTAGGGTACTGTCTTGCATGAGGCTGACCCAGGTTCGATTCCTGAGCACCACCAGGAGTAATTCCAGGAGTGCAGAGCCAGGAGTAACCCCTGAGCATGCTGGGTGTGACCTAAAAACAAGAAAATAAAAAAAAATAAAACTATGAGAGAGAGAAAACAAAACGGAATGCCCTGCCAAAGAGGCAGGGTGGGATGGGGGGGGATGGAGGGTGGGAGGGATACTGGGACCCGTGGTGGTGGAAAACGAGCACTGGTGGAGGGATGGATACTTGATCATCGTATAATTGAAACCCAGCACAAAAATTTGTAAGTCTACTAATGTACCTCTTGGTTTGTCACTAATAAAAATTAAAAAAATAATAATAAATAAAATAAATAAAATAAAACCATGAAAAATTCCAACGAGAGGTAAGAGGTACCTAGTTGGATCCCTGGAGTAGGCTGGCCTTATGGTTATCCAGAGCACAAATTGTCCCTGAGCTGGTGATCTTGCTGTCTTTTTTGAGGGGGTTATATCTGGCAATGTTCTGGCTCTGCACTCAGGAATCACTCAGGGTACCATACAGGATGCTGGGAATAAAACCCTAGTCGGACACAAGTAAGGCAAGCACTCTACCTGCTGAACTATCACTCCAGCCCCTTGTCTGACCATCTTCAAAACTTGCAAACAGGACTGGAGAGATAGAACTGCTATTAAGGTGCTTGCCCTGCACACAGCCAACTGGTGTTTGATCCTTGGCACCACTGATCATACTCCAAGCATAGCCAGGAGTGATCCCTGAGCAGAGAAGCAGGAGTAAGCCCTGAGCACAACCAAGTGTGGTCCCAAAACCAATTAAACAAAATTTGCAAACCCAGCCAGGAAACAAGCTCAACGGAAGAGTGCACATTTTTTCAAGTTTACTTCCTGAGTTTAGCTCCTCAGTATCAAAAACAAACTAAAAAAAAAAAAAAAGCCAATGAAAGCACCTTGCAAACTGCAAGCGTTTCTTACAGAAAAGAGGCTCAGCTCTAGACCCAAAGCCCAAGCCAAGCTGATAGGATACTCCCCACCAGATCCAGGTAATCTTTTTTTTCTTTTTATTTATTTATTTTTAATGAATCATCATGAGATACAATCACAGACTTACAAACTTTCATGATTGCATTTCAGTCAAACAATGTTCGAGTACCCATCCCTCCACCAGTGCCCATTCTCCACCAACATTTCCAGTATCCCTCCCGCCACCCCCACCCCTTCCCACCCCCTGCCTCTGTGGCAGGGACATTCCCTCTTACTCTTTCTTTCAGATCCAGATAATCTTGCCCACCCACCTCCATCCAAACTAAAACTATTTTATTTAAAATAAAATAAATGTGGGGCTGGAGCGATAGCACAGCAGGAAGGGCATTTGCCTTGCATGCGGCCGACCCAGATTTGATCCCCTGCATCCCATGTGGTCCCCTGAGCACCACTAGGAGTGGTTTCTGAGTGCATGGGCCAGGAGTAACCCCTGAGTATCGCCAGGTATGACCCAAAAAGAAAAAATTTTTTTAAATAATAAAACAAAATAAATATATTTAATAAATAATTTAATAAATAATTAAGGACTGGAGCGATAGCACAGCAGGTAGGGCGCTTGCCTTGCACGCGACCAACGCGGCCGACCCGAGTTCAATTCCTCCGCCCCTCTCGGATAGCCCGACAAGCTATTGAGAGTATCTTGCCCACACGGCAAAGCCTGGCAAGCTACCCATGACGTATTCGATACGCCAAACACAGTAACAAGTCTCACAATGTTACTGGGCCCGCCCGAGCAAATCGATGAACAACGGGAGGACAGTGACAGTGATTATTTATTGAACTATTTTATTTTTGTCCAGTCATATGCAGAGAAGTCTGCAGCTATTCTCAGGCTGACAAAAACATACGAGCAAGTAATAGAAAAGGGCCAGGAAGATATTCAGGAAAGGGCCATCCCTCTTGCAGAGACTGGACCAGGGAGAAGATCTTCATAAAAATACACACCGGTGAGTCATTGTGTCTGCAACACCCACTTTACCTCCTACATTGCTGCTTGCTCATTCAATACCTTTTCTTTTTCCAAAGTACCCAGGAGAAAGGGTAACAACAGTAAAATCAGACAGAAAAAGAACATCCAGGGTTGAGAGATGGCACAGGGGTAGGGCACGTGCCTTGCATGCAGCTGACCCTGGTTCCATTTCCAGCACTGCATATGATCCCCTGAGCTGCCAGGGATCACTCCTGAGCACAGAGCCAGGAACAGGCCCTGAGCACCACTGACTGTGACCCAAACATTAAAAGAGGAAAAGAAAAGAGAAGAAAAAGAAAAGGAAGGAAAAGAAAAGAAAAAGAACATCCAAGGATGGGGTAACAGCACAGCAAGTGAGGCGCTTGCCTTGCATGCAGCTGACCCGGGTTCGAACCCCGGCTCTGACCCCCAGCATATGTTCCCAAGTGATCCCGGCATATCACCCATGTGTGACCTCCCCCACCCTTAGAAAAAGAAAAGAAGAAGAACATCCAAAGTGCACAGGGGCCCATCTGCTACTCATTCTTTCTTCCTTAACATTCTCTTCACTTTGCACCTCCTCACTGATTTGCAAAGAGATTCTTCCAGAACAGGACCCGAAAGTTTTGATACCCTCCCAAGCTATAAAACTTCTCTTTTGTTGCTGCCTTGGTGCCAACCCTGGCAGTACTCAAGGCTTACTTCTGGCAGGGCTCCAGGGACCATATGTGGTGCCAGGTGTGGAACAGGGCAACCGTGTGTCAGATCCAAGGTACTATCACTCAGAATCCACAAACATGGCACCAGAAAGTCCCTCCTGTGGGGAGAGGCACACACCTTATTTACTGCCTTCAGATTAAAGTCAGGCCGGGCCAGAAACTTCAGAGAAGTTGAATTAGACACTAACCTACCTGGGAAAGACCCAGTAACCATCAAAGGAAGACAAGCACCCTGAGTGTACTCAGAATAGCCTTCTCCCTCCCTCAACCCAGTGCACCAGAAGTTAGGAATTGAAACCTTCCATTCCCACCTCTAGCAGAAAAGTAATCTGGAAGAGCAGATTCCTGGCTAGGGGTCAATCTTTTAAGGTCAAAAAATGGGGCTAAGAATGGGATTAGTGCTGGAGACTATATGGTACAAAGGTTAAGGCCGCCTGCCTTGCTGCTGTGGCAACAGCAAAACTCAGCACCATCAGCTGAGCACTGCCAAGAGTGTTCCCTGCTCTCCCCAGAAAAAAAAAAAAAGGGTCAGATCCTGGATTTCAGCACACCCCCCAAAAAAGGGGGTGTGAGGGCAGGGCTGTGGCTCAGTGGCAGAGCGTACACATTACACACAAGACCTGGGTTCCAACACACCAGTTCTCCAATGGGCCAAAGTCAGGCTTTGCACGTGGAAGGCCCCGGTTTGAGCCCCAGGGACACACGGTTCCCTGAGCACTCCCAGGGGAAAAGCCCCTGAGCACCACCCGCTGTGGCCCGTTTGAAAATAAAAAACCAAGGAAGCTGGAGTGATATTACAGCAGGTAGGACGTTCGCCATGAACACGGCTGACCCAGGTTTGATACTCACAACCCAGAACTCCTCCACAAGTGACCCCTGAGCAAAGAGCCCAGAGTAAGTCTTAAGCATCACAGGGTGTGGCCCCAAAACAAAAATAAAACAAAAAACAAACAAACAAACAAAAGGGAGCTGGAACAATTACAGGCAGGTAGAGTCTTTGTCTCGCTGACCTGGGTTCGATCCAAACCCCACCAGGAGTAATCCCTGAGCACCAGCATGTCACCACCACATTCCCCCCCCCCCCAAAAAAAAAGAATATCCACAAAAACCTTTTACTTTACAAAAAAAAAAAGACAACCCCGGAGCTAAGAGCAATTAGGTTGCTTACTTAGAGGATTTCCAGCCCAGGTTCTACCCTAAACACCACACTGACCTCCAAACCATCATGGGGGATGGCCCTGGTGGTCCCCAGCATTATAGGGCCCAGATAACACCACATCTTTTGGCTTTTTTTTTCCTTAAATTTTTATTAGTGAAACACCATGAGGTACAGTTGCAGACTTACAAATTTTTGTGCTTGGGTTTCAGTTATACAATGATCGAATACCCATCCCTCCACCAGTGCCCATTCTCCACCACCACGGATCCCAGTATCCCTCCCACCCCCCCGCCCCCCATCCCACCCTACCTCTGAGCACCACATCTTTTGAGTCCTGGCTTGGAACCAGGTTGGCCAAATATCACCAAACGTGCCCTTCCCGTTTCCTCTGATCATCTCTTGGTATTCCCCTCTCCCCCACTCCAACTCCTGCCCCTGTCCCCCACCCACCCACTCACACAATAAAAAGCCAAAAGACAAAATTCCGGCTTTACATCACCCTGGTTCATTCCCAGAGTCTGGAACTGAAGCCAAGAAAAGAAGTTCCTGTAGGGAATTTGTAAGCCTCCCCAACTGGGCAAGAACTGGGCCAGCCGCCTCTACGGAGAAGGCACCAGTCCACCTCTGCTGAGATGACACCAGCCCACGCGGCAGCACCTCATCGCCATTCTCACCCACACGCAG